ACCAAGTGCTTATTTCAGGGTAAAAAAAATAATAATATAAGATAGAGTTTTATTTTCGGGGAAACACGGTACCACGGTACCAGTTTGATATCCCCAAAAGTCTAAGAATTTCAACTGTTATAATACTCAGTAAGCCGGAACATGTTGACTAAAAATTGTGGAAGTTTTTTTTTTAAAAAAAGTTTAATTGAATTGAGAATTAGAGAGTCAGATCAAAAAGGAACAAAAAGAGGGGAAACAGAAGCCATATGTAAGTTAAGAATAAACAGGATCATAGTAATAATGACTGATAGGCATGTATTCAAATGTCTATTCAAAGTTAATGTAATGATGACCTCCAATTTATTCAAATATTTTAACTATGCATTATAGCTGGGAACTTTTCCCCTCCAAAGCTGTAATGCAGTTTTGATGTATTTGGCTGATATAGTATGACTATACAGACATATGTTGTAGTAGACATTTGATGGAAAAATTCCCATTCTAAATACCTGGCTCTATCTGAAAGTGTATGAGATGAGAACAGGTAATGATTCTGGTAATGCTTTAGGATAGGATCTGAACTGCACCAGGGCTGAAGAAATTATCCACACTACTAAATTATCTCTGATATACAACTGGGAAAATTTAATCTGATAAAGTCTTCCAAGTCAAGACTTTCTCAAAAGTTGTCCACAAAGAGGAAGGGTTTATTGGGCTGAGTGACAGGAATAGGGCTTTTTGAGTCTATAAGATTAAAATGAATGTCCAACCATGACAAGCTCTAATTCCTGCTTTTTTTGTGGACCTCTCCATACTTGGCAGCATGGATGACTACATAGATTTGGATTGCAATGAACAAGGAAGGGTGACAAAAAAAAAAAAAAGGGAGGTAATGTGGTGATAGGAAAGGACATCACATTATACATATGACAGAATGCAAGCAGAAGCTTTGGTCTGACCTAAGCATAGTACATAAAATCATCTGCTACAATGTCCTACCAGCCAATGAATACTTCAGCTTCAACCAAAACAATACAAGAGCACACAATAGATACAAACTCATGGTAAACCGATCCAAATTAGACTGCAGAAAATACGACTTCAGTAACAGAGTTGTCAATGCCTGGAACGCATCTCCTGACTCTTCCCCCAATCCCCAATCCCCAAACTTTAACTTTAGACTGTCTACTGTAGACCTCATCCCATTCTTAAGAGGCCTTTAAGGGGCATGCATAAATGCACCAGCGTGCCTATCGTCCCCAGGGGTGGGTTCTAAATTTTTTTACTACTGGTTCTGCTGGGCGTGGCTTATTTTGTGGGTGTGGCTTGATGGTCATGTGACAATTATTTAGGATTTAGTAGAGGTACTGGTCTACCAGGCTTTTAACTGGTTGCAGAGCTGTACCGATCTATCCATTTATTTTTGCAGGCACTGATCTACTCATGTATTTTGGCAGGCACTGGTCTACTCATGTATTTTTGCAGGAACTGGTCTACCCATTTATTTTTTCAGGCACTGATATACTCATGTATTTTTGCAGGCACTGGTCTACTCGTTTGTTTTCTTTTAACAATGATCAGCTGTAGGGCGGCCCTTTGAAGTCCTGCGGCAAGAGTTTAAACAGTTTTTTTCCCTCTAGCCATCAGCTGGGACTCAGGAGGCAGCAATAGGTTGGGGGTGGGGCCAAATAAAAGGCAATAATAATTACAGGGGGGTTGTAGGGGGGCCGGAACCGGTTTGGTGACGTCATATCGTCACCGCTACTGGCTCGGGGAAACCGGGCTGAACCGGGAGGAACCGACCACTGATCGTCCCTGTCCTAATGTTTTCTTTTATTCATATCCTTTTCATGTATTTATAATTATGTTTACACTTGCATCTGTCATAAAATACATGCTTGATGAAATGAAATGAAATAAATAAAATAAGAAAAAAAATAATAGTTAGGCACTAGTAGAAATCTACCTTATCAGCTGTAACATATTTTCATAATATATTTCTATCTAAACTTCTTTAATTTGGAGAACATCTAGTTATACTTCTGATCCTGAAATGATCAAATAATGTTAATTAGATTCTGAAGAATCAATTTCCTGCGCTGGAACAGAGAATTTTTGCAGTTCTGATTTTTTTAGCCTACTATATAAAAAGGGGCTTTTTTTTTTTTTAAAAAAGAAAAACTACGTGCTCCCTCATTTGCAGTGATGCACCTTTCAGTTTATGTAAAAGGAGATGTGATAGCCAAGCCATGATATGGTCAACTATTGGCTAACTGTTTGCCAAATCCAGATGGCTCATGAAGGGTTGCAACTAGCCCATTAGCTGTAATTGTGCAAATGTATAGTTGCCATCTGTGACTCTGCTAGCAGCTGAAATTCAAGAATTATTTCTATGTTGGTGGTACTTTTCCTTAATTTCAAGTTCAGTTTCCTTCTAAATCACTATCTTCTTTGGATATAGTTTCAGCTTATTTGCCTCAAATATAGGCAACATTTGTGCTGATTATTTACTTAGAACTAGATGGGAAGAGACAGTTGAGTTATTTGTCTCATCAACATAGTAATGGTACCAATTCTGAAGCTCTGGTTGATTTCCTGATTTTATGTAGATGCTGAACTCGATGAAGAATAATCATTCTTGTAAACTTCTGCCTTTGAAATGGAAAGGGTGATTCAATTAACCATTTTCTTTGCTACTTAATGCTTGCTTTGCTGCTTTCTTTTTCATTCATTTCAATGTAACTTACATCCCACATCCTTGCTGCCATCCTTGCCCCGAACACCCCCCCCCAAATAGAAAGAAGATACAACAATGTCAGCATGAAGAAGCACAGCTTATGTAGATACTATGCCAATTATTAAACATTTCTACTCAGCCAAGCCAGTGATTGATGCCCTGATTTAAAATGGAGTTGGATGAGTGCCATTTTTTAAAATGAACTCTAGTAGTATTTTTACTTGGTCTTTAACTACATTTTTTATTTTTCCTTTAAAAAAACAACAACTATTGTTAGCTGGCTTGTAGCAGATGTGCATTTTCAGCTTGGCCCTTTGCCAACACAAACCACTCACTGCTTTCTGAGGATAGGAATGGATGATGTCCTTCTCCCACTCCCAGTTCATTGGAAATGTCCTTGGCCCATTTTTCCAGTTCTGATTCAAAATGGCTATGCTCAGACCATGCTTTTTTAGAATTGATGATCTCCAGAACTTAGTTCCATTCTAGTAGCAACCCCAGTTCTAGACAGCTACACTGTCTCCTCCCTTCCAGTGGCTAATTTTATCCTGACCTGCCAGGATCTCTGTTCTCTGTTGGTCAATCATTTTTTAAAATAATCTAGCAGTTGATCCAACATTTCTTTCCTTGAATCAATGAATTAGCTTAACCTTAGAAATGCATGTTCCATTCAATCATCACTTCATCATGTGGGCATCTTGTTAGTTTCTGTCCTGGCTGGGTGAAAAATGCTTCTCTGGTTTTCCCATGGTACTTCAAAGATGCCTTTCCCGTTAATTTTTAAAAATCCCTTTAAGTTGCAACCGAGGAATGTTGCCATATTATTTTTATGAAGCTGAAATACTCGTTTTTCGTAGTTTCTATGGTCCTACAGAAAAAGTCAAAAATCTGCTTCCTTTTGTTATGATGTCATCATAAAGGAATAAAAAAGTTTGCATTAGTGTCAAACGAGAAGAGGAAGATAAAGGCAACATTTGGAAAGCAAAAGAAAAGCCCAGAAAATTAGAGAACAGTCCTTAAAAAGGAAAAGGCAGACCCTGGTACCTCAGTTCCAATAAGAGCCAACTAGCCAGCCAAGCCTGCTTCACTCCATGATTGGGAAGAGCAAGAAGCAGGGGAATGACCAATCATGTCTTGTGTTGGCCATTATATGGATGGAATACCAGCCCCATCATCACTGCCTAGCCTGCTGCACAGTGGTGGGTTTCAAATTTTTTTTACTACTGGTTCTGTGGGTGTGGCTTGGTGGGTGTGGCAGGGGAAAGATACTGTAAAATCTCTATTCCCATTCCACTCCGGGGGAAGGATACTGCAAAATCCCCATTTCCTCCCGATCAGCTGGAACTTAGAAGGCAGAAAATAGATGGGGATGGGACCAGTCAGAATTTCCACAACCGATTCTCCAGAACTGGTCAGAACCTGCTGAAACCCACCTCTGCTGCTGCATCCCTAAGTGGAATTTCTGAAGTTAGCATATAAAACAGGAAGAAAAGTTAGGGAGGCAAGCAAGCAATCTGCACTGAAGAGTTGCTATTAGTGATGATAAATAGGTGCTAAAGTAGGCTGCACATTAGTCAATAATACAGAATTTAAAGTATAAATAAAGATCAGGGTGTCTGTTTCAATATCTGATACCCATTTGGATGTTTGAAGTTCAACTATCTGAGGAGAATAATCAGGGCTAAATTTATAGTTATTTGATTTAGCTTCTTTTCCCTGCAGGTAGTGTTATTTTGCTTAATGAATGTTTGGTTTTATTCACCCAAAGATTTACTTCAAAACCCTTTTCAAGAAATCAGCTTGTGGTCAAGGCTGTTTGCCTTTTCCTTGCAACATGCTGCATATTCATTATTTGCTACTTCAAGACTATCTAGTCTCTATTGCCCTACAATGCAGAGGTATCGCACCAACCTTGTGTCTGAGCAGCACCAGCTTACAGTCTTACAGCAATTATTTTTCTTCTTTCAACTTTTTGTTTCTTTTTTAAAAAAAATGTTTAAAAATTCATCCCAATTCTAAAGAAAAAGAAACAGTCATTGGAAGGACTAGATTCTTCTCTAAAATGAAAATATTCTTTAATTTGAAATCTATGTTGGTAAACTCCCAGCAACTTATTAACTCCAAGCCCATGAGAAGAGTAATGAGTAAACAGGTTTTAGCTGTGATTGCAATTGTATGAAGTGCACTATCATACTTCCAACATTCCAAACACATTTTATACCCATTCGCATTTTATACCCACCAAAACCCGAATTCCATCATATGGTGAATGGCCCCTTATCAAACACTGAACAAAAGGTGTCAAAACCATCTTTATGTCTAAAATGACATAAAGATCTTCACAATAGATCGACGCTCCAATGATGATAAATATTCAATCAAGCAAGGCCAAGAATCTCCCAGATGATAGTCATTTTCTCTCTCTCCGCAGGCATTGTAGGTGGGTACTTTTCTTAGATGGGACCCCTCTCCATGTCCTCACAGGTCTCAACAATACATGCCAAGCCAGCCCTAAAATTTATAACAAGGGGCAGCTTATTACAACTTAATTACAACTTAATTTGACATTGGTAGTACAGTGGTTTAATGCACCCTGTTATTAACACAGCTGCCTGCAATTTCTGCAGGTTTGAATCTTACCAGGCTCAAGGTTGACTCAGCCTTCCATCCTTTCTAAGGTAGGTTAAATGAGGACCCAGTTTGTGGGGGCAATAAGCTGACTTTGTATAAATATACAAAAGTATGAAGGCTATTGCTTAATGCACTGTAAGCCGCCCTGCGTCTCCGGAGAAGGGCGGCATATAAATCAAATTTAAAAAAAAAAAAAAACATTAAGCAGCTGCAGTAACCTGAGCCCAGGGCCATTGCAGATCCATTGAGTAAAACCAGTGCTAGATATTAGATATGCCTTTTCAGAGAGCACCTACGATGGAATGTAGTCTGGCTTCCTAGGAGGAACCACCCCTCTTAGATATTTTTAATTTTTAATTTGATTTTAGTTGGGGTGTTTTAAATTTATTGGGCCAAAATTTGTTTAATTCTTTCTTAAAAAAATTTAAATTTTGTATGCGATGTTTTTATTCTTGGCTGTTCACCGTCCTGAGTCCTGTGGGGGAAGGGCGGTATAAAAATCTAATAAAATAAATAAATAAATTAACCACTGTAGTGATTCTGATTGTACCCAACACCCATGTATTAACTAGCATGCTCTGAACTCACCTCCAGACTCCTTAATCCACTTCTGCTTCTGCACTCAGTGGTTCATCAGATCCCATCAACCCACTGCAATAATTACTGCAACAGACACAGGGGTATAGAATCACACTGATTCTATGCCAACTCTCACTGAGTCTAATCAAGGCACAGAAACAATCTCAATATCAACTAAAAATTGGGATCATCTGAAAAGGATATCACTGCTTCCCTGCCTTACCCCCTCAGTTCTTATACCTCAGAAGGAAAATAAATGCTCTCCATGTCAAGTGCCTGCAATCTGGAAAGGACATATGCCATAGTGTTTCTAAATTACAGAATGAAAATCCTATTCTTTTTAGTCAGATTCTTCTGCCACAGATGGGCACAACATTTAAAGGCTACCTGGGAGTGGGGAAGGCTCTATTTCTTTGAATCCCCATGTCACAACATAAGGGGTGCAACATGGCTGCTTCCCAAGGATGATAACTCCACAGAAGCTGTAGGATCCAGGCCTTCCAACCTGTTTCTATGAAGTTTCCTCATGATTGATAGTCATCCTAGGACTTCAACACATTGCACCAACACCACTAAGATTTCCCCCCACCTTAAAGGTAAAGGAATTAGAAAAAAGACTTCCTCCTTTCCCATAAATCCAATAAAAATTTTATACTGAATGTTCTGCAGAGACTGTTTTGTTTACCTTACTAAAAATTAATTCTTGTGGATTAATTATAGTGGATCAGTGTGTATTCTTTCTGTAACAGAAGCTGCAGTTACTTGAATGTTTGCTGCCTGACTGAGTTTTCCACTGTGTGGAAAATTTGCTAATAAAACTCTTTCAGCCCTAGGGCTGAAAAGAGTACTCTGAATGGTAAGGAGTTTGTCTACAGTCTCAGAACTCTCTTTTTCTCTTTTTGTATTCCACCTATGGAAAAGTTGTACCCTGCTGGCTCTGGATACAAGTGTGTAAATTGACTGAGAATATGCTTTATTTGAATCTGACCATTATAGCTCCATGACACTTCAAAACATTATTTTTGTCTTGAAAGATCCAACAGTGATCTCTGCTCACGGGAAACCGTAAAATAATTCAGTTTCAGTAGGATATCTTTTATTTCTTTTTGTAAAAATCATTTGCGCTTTCCCCCAAATGTTAGGTCATCCCTATTTTCTTTCATTAAAGACATTGTCCACTGTAGCACACTCTTTCTCCTGCTGTGAAAAGTTATGTGCAGGTCCTGTCTAAAACCTCGATAACTTGTGTGAATGTCAATTTAAATGGCCTGATTGGTTTTATAGGATGATTTCCAAACTCTCTCAGTCTGCTTTTAGAAACATGTCTAACTCCTTTCATAAATACCTCAAACCCCAGAAGAGGAAAAGGGATTTATTGGGATGACTCTACTAAGACTTGATAAGATTTTTCATCTGTTTATGGATCTCCCACCACATCAGTAGTAATGATCATTTAAACTCTGCATAGGTCATCTCAATTCTTTGGATATTTTTTTATTGGAGTTACTCTGGTAATCCAGACAGCATACAATTTGATAAATAAAATAAATTATCACACTCCAAAAATGAGGGTGCAGCTTTCATAGGAAAGTTTTTGACAAACCCATTATCAGTAGGTCTTTAAATGACCTAGTATTCCTCTGAGACAAATTGATGTTGAAATGCTTTCCACAGCAATATTGCAGTTAGACATCACAGGAGTGTCAAGTACAGTGGGTAAATGGGAGATAGATTGCAAAATGAGACAGTTGGACTATTCTAGGGATGAGATTTTGCAGAAGGTTAAAACAGAATCCTCATGTTGTGTAAGCCAAATATTAATTAACAGAAAGGGAAGGACATTCTAGTTTCTTAGCATGCTTTCCTATTTATTAATATTTGTTAGTTTCAGCATTTACTGTTTCTAGGCCCCATCAGTTTTGATAGTCCATTTTGGCAGTAGGTAACCTGAAATAGATGATTTACTAATAGCGAATTATTTACATTTTATTGTGTCAATGCTGACATTTGCAGCAAACCTGTTTCGACTTGAATAGCTTTGCATTTTTAATAGCCTTATTATATACTGTAGAATAGATAAGAGAGCCTATTCCAGAAGAGGGAGCTGGAATGCAATTTCATTTGGTCCTCTATATTTTGAGAGAATAGGTATTAGAACTGAATCTAAGATGTGAATTTTCATGAGCAAGACAGTCTCTTTTGCCAACTTTTCAGGACAAAGTTGCAAAAATGGATGCAAACCAAGAGCCTTGGTACTACAGTGGTTTAAAGCACCCTGTTATTAACACAGCTGCCTGCAATTTACTGCTGGTTCGAATCTCTCCAAGGCTCAAGGTTGACTCAGCCTTCCATCCTTTCTAAGGTAGGTTAAATGAGGACCCAGATTGTGGGGGCAATAAGCTGACTTTGTATAAATATACAAAAGTATGAAGGCTATTGCTTAACGCACTGTAAGCCGCCCTGAGTCTTCGGAGAAGGGCGGCATATAAATCAAATTAAAAAAAAAAAATGGACAAAAGGGCTTACTTATTGAGGAAGCTTTTTTTTGTCAATAGATTTAATGTGCTTGTAATGAACTGAGTTCTCCAATCATTTGATTAGCCAGTTATTTGATTATTTTGCATCAAGTTAGCTTCTTCTGCAGATGTAAATATGTAGATAAATATAAGTCAAGGCTCATAATTACATGGGAACATGTATTTTCATAGCAAGCAGAGGTTTGTAGATTGTGTTTTTAGGATATTTATTACTATCTGATGCATCATTCATGAGGAAAAGATGCACTCTGGAACAATTCAAAGTGCTAGTGATTACCTAAACAGCCAGATGCATCAGGTATTGCATTGCCAGAACTGAAATAATCTGACTGGTTATAACGTCTAGAAAGGAGTTGTTCTCACAAGATTTATATAAGGCAGAGACAGTCAACTGTTCTTTTCAATAGTTGCCCCTATATTGCTATTATTAACTGGTCAAGTATCTTGACTGCCATGATTATTTATTTTTGATGTTTTTAAAATTGTTTTTTATTATTTTAAAAGGTTTTAATTGTACTATATTTTTTGAATTGTAAACTGCCCAGAGTCATTGACTGAGATGAGCAGCTATAGAAACTGAATAAATAGGTTGGAACCAGTGATGGAATTCAAATTTTTTTACTACTGGTTTTGTGGGCGTGGCTTGGTCGGCATGGCAGGGGAAGGAGACTGCAAAATCCCCATTCCCTCCCCACTCCTGGGAGAAGGATATTGCAAACTCTTGACTCCCACCCCACTCTGGGGACAGCCAGAGGTGGTATTTTCCGGTTCTCTGAACTACTCAAAATTTCCGCTACTGGTTCTCCAGAACCTGTCAGAACCTGCTGAATAGCACTCCTGGTTGGAACATACTTCAGATGCATGAGTACCACATATTCATTCTCTTTCTGTCTCTCTCCCTCCCTCCTCCCCCCTTCACACAAACGTATATTCATAAATAAAACAATACATTATACAAAAGGGATTTAAGAATTATAATGTCTTACCCACCCCTGTCAAGCCTGAGAAAAATGTACTACAATACCGACAAAGCCAATGGTAAAAGTTGAGCTTGAGCCATTTAACATTGTAAAAATAAAAAATAACATCATCCCTAGATTACAAAAGTAACTATGAATTTGAGAAAGCAACTATGTTATACTTCAGAATTATGTAAGACATTTTAACCTTAAGAGGGGTAAAAAAAAGGCTTTAAAGAAAGAAAAAATAAATTGTGCCAGTCACATTTATTTATAGACCTTTTTTCCCCAATCATTTCACTCCAAGTGAAGAACTTAGTCACTTATGATATGATTGTGGCTGTAACCATGGTGAACTTTGTCACATTAATAGTAGTAGCTGAGAATAAACGATTAGCAAACACAATACGGTATAGAATCCAAAATGATGCATTAGAGGCCAATCTTTGTGAAAGGATTACAAGTGCATCTTGATCTCCCATTTTTCTGCAGATGAATGACTTAAATGCTTCTCTTTATCCTCCAAATATGCTCGGTAAACAAAGCACTCATAAACTCAATTTTTAATAGTGAGCTGCTCTTTGGATATGTTCTTTAGGCAGAAGAAAAAGATGGTATCTCTACATCCATTTTATCTACTTTTCATTTCCCAGAAAAAAAGAGATAGTGCGTGAATTGAGCTGTACTGTTTTATTGATTTCATTAGGATGTTATCATTATTTTCTCTTATGTTGTCTGGGCTTCTGCTGGATCCAGTCCATGAAACTTCAGGGCATGCATGCACATTTTCTTCCTAGTTTATGTA